GGGGAGCCCGCTGCGACTGCGGGCTGAGCGCTCGGGAAGGCGGCCAGGCCCCAGGGCCCCAAGGCGCGCTGCTCCAATCAACACCAATACGGGAGCGTGGCAGCAAATGTTGGGGTTCCTGCGGGTCCATGAGGCGTCCCTCCCAGCAGGGCGGCCGCGACTTCTTGGCTGACCCCTGGCAGACAGCGATGAAAACGAGAAACGCAACCAAAAACAGCCTCACAAAGAAGAAGTGGCCTTTCCCCGTCATGATTTGACCTTTGCAGGCCCGTACTTTCAGCATAGCTGCTACGGAGTGGGGAAAAAAATCCGACTTTGGCCTTCGTGAGATCTGCAGCCAGGCGCTAGGATTGTATAAAACTGTGTCAGTCCAACCCATCGCAGAAACCCTTTGGCGTCTGCCCACCAGTTAGTATAACTATCGAGGCAAAACCTATGTGATTTAGAGCCCCCCATACCACGTGGATATGTCAACAGACCCCCGTGAACCCCGACATCCAGATGAGAGAACGGATGCGCTCTGCTATTCCCAGCCACGAGCTGCTGCAACATCCTTAGGTCCTTCATTTCTCCTCTCCGTGTCCCAGCTGCAAAAGCAACCCCTGCGCAGTTTGAGGTGCACACTGCTCTGCCGGTGGGTGGTTTCTGCGGGAGCAAAGCACGACTGGCCTGACCACGGCAGGATCTGGCAGATGCTCAGTAGCTGCTGGATATCCTCAGGTGCTGATGATATATCACGATATTGGTATAAACTACCATGACCGGCCCATGGGCATGAGCAATCGGCCAACCACCACAGTGCGAGCAGCCGCCCCACGCATCCCACGTGCAGCATTTCTTTGGGACAGGAGGACGCCTGGGGCACCTGTTTTGTTTGCAGCACTGCAGCAAGCTGAACTGCTGCACGACTCCTCACCAGGGAAGCGCGTGAAAGCCTGCCTGTCCTCCCGGGCAGACGCGAGAGCAGAGGGAGGAGGACTGTCAGCACTCTGGCAATTTAATCCGTGTCCCCGTTGCAAAGTAGAGCATTGTCAGCGCAAGTGTAAGCAAAACAAAGAATCACAGAATGGTTTGGGTTGGAAGGGACTTTTGAAGATCATCTAGTCCAATCCCCCTGCCATGGGCAGGGACTTCTTTCACTAGATCAGGTTGCTCCAAGCCCTGTCCAACCCGACCTTGAACACTTCCAAAGATGGGGCATCCACAACTTCTCTGGGCAACCTGTTCCAGGGTCTCACCACCCTCATTTCTTCCTTATGTGCAATTTAAACATACCCTTTTTCAGTTTAAAACTGTTGCCCCTTGCCCTGTCACTACAGGACATCTGCAGCTGCATTCTACTTACTGACCAGCAAAATCTGAACTGGAGTCTAAAGTCTGCAGGAAGATGAGGGAATTCTGGCACTTTGCTTAAAACAACTCTAAGACAGAGAGATGTGTCTCCAAATATCCCTGCAAGACCAAGAAGGTGTCATTCCTTTAGTTCTGCAGACAGAGGCCTGGCTGGTGAAGTCCTCTGGTTGGGGGCAAGATGGCCTTGCCAATAAATGGTCCAGCTGACACAAATCAAAACATTTCTTTAAAGGAGCTGCACTTTTATTCCTAGACCAAATCATCGGGAAACAGATGGGGACAGCCTGAAAGAAGCACCTCTCCCGGGTCCAACAGATTTTTCTTCAGAAATTCTGGTTTCGGGGCTGTGTCTTTGTGGCACCAAAAAGGAGAAAGTGGGCGCGTGTTTTGCAAAGTCTGGGGGTTGGTTATCTTTCATAGGGAGGCTGTTGCGAAGGGGTGTACAGTCACCTACACTGACTCTGGCCTTCTGGGGGCAAAAGACCTGGGGAGCCCCCACCGCCTCCCCCCCACAGCAAAGACCAAACCAGCCAGAGTCTCCTGTGGGTGGAAACCCAAACGTGCAGATGTTTTCCTGTCCTGGGTGCTGCCCGAGAGTGAACGAGGAGGCAGTCTGAAGGAACTGGACAGAGTGCCTGCGTTCTGCCCCAACCCAGTGGACACATCCTTGCGGGGAAGCGCCCCGGGTCCACCCTGGAGCCCTCAGGTATAAAGTAAACCCAGCGACAAGGAGTTTCCCTGCATCTAATTTTGGCAGCTAGCACTGCCAGGCGCAGAATACCAAACGGATGAGTTTTGCCTGCTTTCTGCTTATTACACAGCTGAGCTAACCTCACATTTCTGTTTACCTCAATCCTGACGCCTGGGGCAGTTTCGAGGTTGCACCGATGCCTTTGCAAAGCTAGCACTGGAATGGGCATGAAGCCGTCGTTTTATTTATTACGTGGAGCGATGGAAGGGAGAACTGCCTGACACATCGCAGCTTGGCCCACGCGCTCCTTGTGGTCCCTGTGGCTTGGGGCTGGGCTGAAGTCAGAGCCTGGCCTCAGCCCCGCCTTTCTCCTCTTTTTAAAGGTTGTAAAAAGCAGCCGCTGTCAGTTTGCCGCTCCGCTGCTTCCTCTTTTGACTCTTTGCGAAAGGAGAAAGCGCTTCATGTCTTGTCGTGAACTCCTTCCCCCCTGGCTGGTGATCGTAGCGGGACTGACGGGCATCATGCTCCTTTGTGTCTCCACTAAAGATGTGCCCATCACCCCTCCCAGGACCAAGGTAAGGGCATCCACCTGCCCAAGGGGCGGCCAAGCTGGGGGTCAAGCGGGGCAGAGGAGACCTTCTCCTCGTCTGTGGGGCTGCTTCTTAAGGAGAACCTGCCTGTTTCCTTGTGCAAGGTGGGCATTTAAACTGGTGTGTTTCGTTGCTTTTTACATTCATTGCACTACTGACTTAGTTACTAGCCCAAAACAACAAACTGAGGAGGGGACTAGAACAAGACTGCGAGGATGGGTTTGCATCCTTCAACATGCTGTAGCTTTTCAAACCAAAAACAAGCCAACCCCTTTGGCTGGTCAGGGAAATACAGGCTGGATATCATCCAGCAGAGATGTTCACCACAGGCTGAGGAGAGGCAGCCCGTGTCAGGAGCGACCCCAGAGCAGCAAGGGACCAGTGGTGTCAGTGGAGGGAAAGATCTAGGTCCCTCTTGAAAGTCAGTAGGAATTTGGCACTGAACTGCTGCTTCTGTCTTTAAAAAAAAAAAAAAAAATCTTCCATGCCTTTTCCTCTTCTGTCCTCTCTTGATTTTAACTGAAGAGCCAACCTGCTTTATGCAGCAGGGTCAGATCTGCCCGGTGACTGGGGGGTTGCTGTCCATCCACTCTGCCTCTTGGTGCACCACTGCTGAGGTGAGACCAGTGGCACGCTGTGGTTTACTCAAACAGAAGTAGGTTAACCTGCGCATTTAGATACTACCCCTCCTCCACGCTCCTCTCAGAAACAAAATCGGATTAAAAAACCCCTTCATTGCTCCATGCTCTGCCCAGCGAGCATTCTGCCCTTCCCTGGTGTTGAGCTGGGGCAGAAACGTGGTGATTCCTTCTCCTCCCTTGCACTCCCAGCAGCAGCCTCTCATTTTGTGAAGAAGGAAGAAAATCGAGGTTTCTCCGCCAATACCATTCGTTTCTTCCTCTTCTGCAGCAGCTGACATGCCCTGCAAGAAATATGAGTTGTCACTCGTGTGGGAGGATGCCAGCAGGCTCGGACAGGGAGTTCCATTCTCCTTCCGCATTTCTGCTCTAGCTCCAGTCCCACCAGCTCCTGGCCTGGGCACTGTGTCTGGTGCAGCTGGGAGCTCCCAGGAAGGCAGCAGGCAGCCAGCTTCGCTCGGAGGCTGCAGCCAAGCTCTGTCTTGTGCTAAAACCCTTCTGACTGTGTTAATGTCAACCTCTCAGGAGGTTTCTCCTCCCACTCAGTCACAGCTACAACTATTTCTGTGCAAGATACAGCTTAAACCATGCACTACCGCATACCTCCCAGATCTCATGAGTTTCTTTCCCGTCTGTGTAGGAGATGTCCCAGTTTGGGGTTATGTAATAGAGGGGAGAGTAGGAGACCTTAGGCTAGCCCCGGGGCTATTTTGAGTGTGGGGACATCCAAAACAGCCACAGAGCTGTGCTGCAGGGTACCCCAGTGGCCTCTCATTTCCTAAGCTCACATATGAGATGCAGCTCAGCAAGGCTTAGTCAGCAGCAAATAGACCAGACGCTGGGCTGCAAAGAGACTAAGAAAGCCCTCGGCCTCACTGCTAGGCAATAGGAGAACTGTCAGTGGAGAAGGTGTTGAGAAATCTCACATTCACTGCTGCCATTTCTGCCAAGACATTATCTTGGTCTCCTCAGGGCTGCTGCGTTGGACAGTGTATGTGCTGGTTGGTCCCAGCGCGCTGCAGCTCCCAGAGGTCTGGCACGCACTGGGGCAAACCCAGCCCGTGTCGCACCATCTCTGCAGTGGGGCATCAAACAGATGTGGGAGTCTCGGGTTCCTCAGAAGCAGGAACAAGCCACAGCCCTCCGATTCCTGCACGAAACCCTTACCTCTTTAGCAAACCAATCCAGCAGCAGTTTGAGTCCCAGAGTCAGTCGAGAACCTGTATAGTGCCATCTCCCACTGCTTTAGGACCTGTTTTTCCTGAGCTCCAGATGGCTCAGCTCTCAGTGGAAGCCCTCTACCTGATTTCAGGAACAGCTGCAGAGCATGCCACCGTAGGTCTGACGTACTTCTGGGTGTTTCTCCACTCCTGCTGCTCCTCATGTATATTCAGAAATACAGATGGTTCCCTGCAAATCCACATCATCTTCTGGCTTCACCCTTTCTTTGAATGTAAAAAGCTAACTCAAATACTGCAGTGCACGCCCATGGGTTACCCAGAATACCTGCGTAACGCTGAGTAACCCTAGAATAACAAAGCAACATGCATTCAGTGGTGTTTATCTAGAATGTTTTGGGGGTTTTCCAGTACGGCATTGTTCTGGATGCTGGCCCATCCCACACCATCCTGTTCATCTACCAGTGGACCACCACCAAGGCAAACAAGACCGGGGTGATCAGGGAATGTAGTTCCTGTTCTGTACAAGGTAAGATGCCTGATTCATGCTCGGTGGTCTGTGGGACTGGCATGGGATGGATGGAAACCTAGAGATCTGTGCATGGACCATTGCTGCAATTTCCTCAGCTCCTGTATCATCTAGCTGTACACTGAAATAGTGGTGACTGTGAAGCACAGGTTGCTTATTTTCAGCATGGGTCTTCTCAACATGGGCAGATTTAGCCGTACACAGCTGGACATCAGAGCACTCAGCAGTAGCAGGTGACAGGTTTTTTTGGCCTGCTGCAGGCAGGGAAGCACACAGAGGGGCTGGTCCTGACGTCCACGTGGATCAGCAGCAGAGCCAAGGTTGCTGAGCTTCTCACCCAGGTGAGACAGTGAACAGCAACAGAGACAAATCTGGCTGCAGGGTGACTCCTGGTATCTTCTGCCCCCTCCTGACTGTATTCTGGGCAGTAAGTGGCGTAGCTCCAGGACAACAGAAGTGCGAAGACTCCAACCCCCTATGCAAGGTTTGACAGCACAAGCATGAGTTCAGTTTGGTTTTAGGTGTCACATTTTGGAGAATATTAGGGTCTTCCTCACTAGTTTGAATCAGTTTGGCCCTGCCAAAGCCAGCTGAAAGGGTTTCATGCATTAAAGCTTGGGGTTTTCCTTCTCTATCTCTCAATCTTGCTTTGATGTTGAAGTCTGATTATAGCAGGATGCTGGGAAACCCTGAACTCTCAGTAGCAGCGTGCTGTAGGAGGGCAGCTGCACAACAAGCAGGGAAGAGGGTTTGTGCCCTTGCAGACTATAAGCAATACAAACCACATACAGAAGATGCAATAAGGGCTCCCTGAAACCTTGTATGCGTCCCTTGACTGCTGCCATATTCACTGGCTGGGTTAAAAACAGCAACTGTAGCTTGGTGCTTGAAGACTTATTTGAACCTGCTGCTGCAACAGTGTGTCAGCAGCAACAAGAGGTCCAGGCAGGTCTCTCTCCCAAGTGTGAGTAGTTGTCCTTGGTCTGCATGGCAGTATGGTCACAGCCTTTGAGTGGCTGCAGGCAAGCTGCAGCTCAGCCCTATACAGGGCCCAGGAGAGCAAAGCAGATGGTGAGGGAGTCGCACAGCCAGGAAGACAAGTGGGCCAGAGGATGGGGAAGTGAGGCTCTTTTTGGGTAGTAGTTCAAAACCAGCCTTTAAGACCCCATTGAATCTTGCTGGAAAGATGAGTCAAAGCTTGCACACAGCTGCTCTCCACACAGCACCAGCTTCCTCTAGAGCAGAGATGTCTTGCTTGCAGGCGTGGGGCTCGGAAGCCACCTCCACCAACACAAGAGGAAGTGGATGGAGGAGAGAGCTGACACATCAGCCTCAGTTCTAGCTGCATGGCAGTGTGTCCTTTTGCTTATCTTTTATGTGGCTAAAGCCACATTTCTTCCTCTGTGGGCTGAGACAGCCTCAGCTGTTGCAGCAGACTTGTGGCTGATACATGGTCATTTACAGGATGTCTCAGCAGCAGAGCTAGGGTTCTCTTTGTGCTATTCGGGATTTATGTGCATGTGCCATTTTGCTCCCTGTACCATATTTTAGCAGCATGGCTACCTGGAGGAACTCCTTCATTCTGCCTGTGACAGGTCCTGTCTCTAACCATGCCCTAGGACAGCAACCTCTTGGGTAACAGCTCTCATACTTCTCCCATATCTTTCCTTAGAAAATGTCATTCTTTTCCCTGGTCCTCAGGTCCGGGAGTCTCCAGCTACTCAGATTCTCCTCAGAAAGTAGGGAAGAGCTTGGAGCCATGTTTGAACTGGGCCCAGAAAGAGATCCCAGCAGAGCAGCACAGCCAAACCCCCCTCTACCTGGGAGCAACCGCCAGCATGAGGCAGCTGAAGTGAGTGAATGTTGCAAACCCACACCCAGAGATCAGCACACGTCATGCGGATCATTCTGTAAATGCATCTCACCTTGTCTGCTCTGCAGTGTGTTTCATCCCTAATCTGCTAGTCAGGTAAACCTTCCTCAGGTCCCCACGCACTCGAGGGGAGTACGGTATGGCTGTGCCTCCATACTGTCCCCTCAAGCAGCCATGAGGATGACAGTCTTGCTACTGCTACCAGTCTGTGTAAAGTCTCCTTCACAATTAGGACTTCACAATTAGTGCTTGGAAAAACATCTGTCAGTCTGGAAGCTGAAGTGTTTTCAGTTTGTGTGACAACCCACATGGGCTTGCAGAGGTGCTTGTTAGCAGGTTGGGAGCGGTGGTGGGAAGATCCACCTTATCATACACACTTTTGTGGACCCTGTTCTCAGTCACCTCATTACTGGGACCTTTATCTCCTTTTAGACACTGGGGAAAAGTAAGGTCTGGAGGGGGCCAGGTCAGTGGGGCAAGGCCACAAGATCCCTCAGTGGCAGAGGGTACTGAACTCCTAAATTCTTGAATGGTGGCACAACTGCTCAAATCATCCCTCTGCTGTTTTTGCCCCCAGTGCCGTGCAAGGGGAGAGGGAAGTAGCAGCAGGAGTGGGATTGTCATGGTGTCTCTGTGCTACTACCCAAAGTGGGGAGCACAGCTGAAGCCCTGCAGCTGTACCCCCACTGCAGGCTGCTCCTGGCAGGGTCCTGTAACAACAAATGTGCCTTCTTTTTCTTTTCTGTTTAGCCTCACCCATCCCACCCTCTCTGGCGGTCTCCTTGCAGCCCTGACTGTGGCCCTGAAGTCATCCCCCTTTGACTTTCAGGGAGCACAAATCCTGTCCAGTCCAGACGAGGAAGCATTCAATTGGGTTGCTGTTAATTATGTCCTGGAGAACTTCTTCAAGGTAAAGGACAATCCTGCCTGGGGAGTACAGAACTGAGCTGAGCAACTACCATTAGCAAACAGCTAGAGAGACATGTGGAGAGATTGTTAAAGCCCTGTACTTTAAACAATGCTTAAGCACAACTTCCATTGTCTTTTAGAGAAGGCAGGTTATATCCAACACCAGCTGGCTGGGGGACATAATGTGAGATGGTTAAAACTAGGCTGAAGGCCTAAACCTCTAATATAGCCTTTCATGGGCATGTTCATGCAGTTGGCTTAACAGACGTGAGGCTTTCTGGACAGCACATCCAGGATGCTCACATAGATAACCTTACACAGTCTGGCCCTGGGGTGTCAACAAGAACTCCACTGCCCCGAGTCCCTGCAGCTCTAGCTCAGCACCACTGTCAAACAGGCATTGCTGCTATGTCTGTGGGGTGCTGTGGGATTGCCACTGGAGTCCAGCTGTCCCATGGGACATCCTGTGGATGGTGGACAGAGAAGCAGAGTCTTTTGCTGCCAAAGCAAAAGCCCATCAAATTTCCTCTCATTGAGACACTAGCAAGAGTATAGCTAGGTGTCCCCAGCATAGGGGCCTGGTCTGTATTCAGAAGGCACTCACTAAACAAAAAGAATACATTTAATTTTCCTTGCTCTACCCATGGCTTCTCAAGCCAAAGGGTCTCAAGAAGAACTCAACGGGCAAGAGAAAGGTGGGTTAGACTGAGTTATTCCACACTGGGGAAGTGAAAAGCTATTCTGATAACCAGGAGCAAGCATGCACTGATTAGGGAATTGCTAGCCCTGCTGGCAGCAACACAGCCTCCCCCGGCCAGGGACAGAGTGCTTACACTCACGTAAACCTTCCTCTCTGTACTGCTAACTTCAGCATTGCCAAACTCAGTTCTGCAAGATGACAGGAGATGAAACCACAGGGTTCTTCTGACAGGAGGATCACTTCAGCATCAAGGCAGCACTTGAAACCCATATCTGCCCACCTGGAAACCTCCCTCCCATTCCCCACCACAACCACCACCCTCTCCTCTCTCCCCTGCTCCTACCCACCAAGACCAGTGCTTTGAACAGCTATCCAGGGTGGGGAGCCCTGGTTGCTCTTGCTGGCTGTGGGGAGCTCTCTGCGCAGGTGGCAGTGCTTGTACAATGGCTCCTCTGTTCCCTCCAAAGCCACCAGTTCAGCATCCTTATGCCCTGTGGGCAAAAAAAGTAAGTTGGGCTGTACTGCACCAGAAAGCTGCTTTCTCTCTCTCTGCAATAACGCTTCTTTCTGACCGTGACCCAGATGTAGAAGTCTTAAGAACTGACCTCTCTGGTTCTTTTTGGGTCAGTACGACTGGCGAGGGCAGTTGGTCCCCTCCAGGAAGGGGATGGCAGGAGTCCTATCTGTGGGAGGAACCTCAGCACAGCTCACTTCCAAGGTGGAAGAAGGGAACCAGGCACCAAAAGAGGGAGTGAGGCTGCAGCTGTATGGACAGACGCACAACGTGTACACTCATCACTGCCCCTGCCACGGCACAGACCAGCTCCGCAGCAGGCTGCTGTCTATGCTCATTCAAGTGAGTACCTGCCAGAAGGGCATTTGCAAGGTTCCCCTGAATACAATCAACCCTCTGCACTGAATGACAGTTGCATAAGGCATAGCTGCTAATGGGCAAAATGTCGATCACTGTCTTTAATAGAAGGCATTTGCATGTATCTAAAAAAGCCCAGTGCATTTGTCAAACATATTCCCAATGCCAAAACCGATGCCCTCCAAGCAGACACACAGGCACCCATTCCAGAGTTTCCTACTTGCAGGCTCTATTTGGCTCCTTACTTAATACACATGAGCACAGCGTTGCTCTCCGGAGGTGCTAAGACCACCTTCGGGGTGGAGCGAGGCAAAGACTTCCCTTGGCTTCTCTGAACTACTCCTCCATCCTAGAAGGGGAGCCTAAACAACAGCACCCAGGAACAAACCGGGACCTTTCATTTGGGATATTTCTGTCCTTTGCTGACTTTAACCCTGAAGCAGTCTTTAAGAGAGCAATATTTCATTTTGAAAACATACAGGTGTTCTGGTTCTTCCAAACTTTATTTCGGGGGGGGGGGGGGGGGAGGGTCTGATGCAAACTCAGGCCCTGAACTCTGCAGGAGCTGGGAGCCTGCTGCAGTTGACTTGCTGAGATAAGGTTTGGCAAACTTTCTGCAGACTGATTGCTCATTTACAACATTGTGGTGCCAGAGGAAAACTGTTCTTCGTTGTGTTGCATTTTGTCTTTCTTTGTGAAGTCCTGGGATGCCAACCTCCTTTCTTGCTGCCTGTGTCCCTGTTTTATTCTGCCTCTCTAGGATCAGAGAAGTGCTAAAACTGTGTCTAATCCCTGCTGGCCCCTCACCTACTCCCGGGAAGTGCGGTGGCAATCAGTGCATGCTGGGCCTTGTGCTGTCAGTGATGACACATCAGACATCCCCGGCCCTGAGGAGGTCTTCAACATCACTGGCTCCAGCAATCCCACCACCTGCATGAGACTTGTGCAAAGTCTGCTCAACTATTCCTCTTCCTGCAGCTTCTTCAAGCATTCCCTCAGCAGTATTTTCAAGCCCCTCCGGACCAGGTTTCTGGTGGGTTCTCATTTACACTGGGGTAGGCAACTGGTATGGAGAACCCATGAAATGGGAACAGTTTGGTCATTAAAAAAATACAGTGGGAACAGCCACACTGTGCCCTCTGCTAGCCAAGAGGGCCAGTGCTCTGGCTAACATTGTACACATGCTCTCCTGCCCTCTCCCCCTCATTTCCACACAGCTGTTTAGCCAGTGCTCTGGCTAACATTGTATACATGCTCTCCCGCCCTCTCCCCCTCATTTCCACACAGCTGTTCAAATATGGACAACAGGCTTCCCATCAGTGACTGTGGTAGGGCTTTCTTCATCCATGTTTCAGCAATGTCTGCTTGCAAGGCAAACTTTGGGGCTCCAGCGCCATAAAGGACCTCACATGAGCCAGCAAGGATAGGGTAGTCAGCAGTTGTGTGCTGAGCAGGTCTTCCCACACCAAGTATGTGGTGAAGTTGAAGATCCTCTGCCGCTCTGAGCAAACATCTGGGCATGCTCCACCACAAGCATGCTTATATCTGAGACCCTAGATCTAGTGTCCAGAGTCACTGGGTTGTTAAGCCAGGACCATCTCAAGATCCTAGAAGAGGCTGAGCACATTTCAGTGAAGGAATGCAGAGGGAGGAATTTCAGAAGTCTCCCCAGCTCCCTGCTTCTGAGAGCCTCCCATGGACACTGTGCCAAGGAGCATAAGGACTAGCCTACTTATCCAGGCAGGGCCAGGAAGGCTGCTGCATGCAAGCAAGCTAGAAGCAGGCCAGTTTCCATCTCCAGAGAGTAATAGATCTGCTTGTTTTCCTTGCACCCATCAGAGGCACTGTAACCACCAACACAGGCACACACAGAGGGCACCCTGGCAGTGTGCCCCACAGCTACTGCCACTTACTTTCCTATCGGCACTGTATGCAATGCAAGGATGCAGAGCGCAGTCCGACCTGATGATTATTTCTGCTGCTGTTGTAGGTGATTTCTGAGGCCATGGACTTCATGAGAGAAACTGTACCCTCTCCCGACTTGGGTCAGGCAGTCAACAGGCTTTGTGGGATGTCCGTCAAAGAGGTAACTGTGGAATAACTTAGTGTGCAGGGAGAGTGGGAAGCAAGGAACAGTCTGTTGTAAAAGCCCACGTGGCTCAGACTGACAGAGCCATAAGTTAGTCTTCCTTAGGGAAAAACTTGGATTTGCCTGGTTTGTTTGGGGTGTTTCTTTTTGGGTTTTTGTTTGTTTGTTTTGGGTTTGTGTGTTTTGTTTTTTTTACTTTGAGGAAACAAGCCCCACTTATTTTCCTTCCTCTCAAATCCCAGCTGCTGGTAACACCTGGACTTAATTAAATGAAAAGCCACAAGTACCTTTTACTGCATATTAAGGAGTAAACAGGAAGGCTGTCTACTCACTCCTGTACATCACCTTGGTCTTCCTGTTATCTTCCTCTCCTTAAGTCCAAGGAACACATCCGCTCAGACTTCAGGGGCTTTCCCACTTCACCTGGGCCCATAGAGACCAAGCCAGGGGGAATCTGTAAGTTCTTTCCCTCAGTTGGCGGCTTATGAGGTCATCCTCATTTGCACCTACACTGACCGAGCATCCACAGTAACATGCAATTGGACCATTTCTACAGGGTTTGCTAATGGGGTAGCAAAGCCCATAAGTGGTTCCCTAAAGCTTTCTCTTCTGGATAGAAGAGAATTTATTAGTTACCTATTGAGAGAAAGGCTGCAGCATTAGCTCAACCTAATTAGAGAGCAGAGAATCATACCAAGCAGTTCACCTGCGAGGCAACTGTAGGAGACCTGGCTGCCAGTCCTGCTGCTCTTGGAACTGCCTGGTCTTTAATAAGATGGGAACAAAGGCACTAAGAGATGACACTGGTTCCCAGACACCAGCCCAGTGGGTGCAGGAAACATGGTTTCAGTCTGCACAGGACACAAACCCGTCCCACAGTCAGTCCCAGAGCAGGAAAGGAGAGGTTATAGCAGGCCTGAAATTCAGCTACTGAATATTTACTACTTTTATTTCCCCCCCCACCCCATCTTCTTTTGGAAATGACACCAGCTGGTCAAGGAGTCCCAAACAAGCCTGGATACACTTGCTGATTACTGCATTGTGTCTGCCTTCATCTTTCATCTCAGTACAAAGGGATACACGTTTGACTTTGACAGGTCTGTCTGGACTGCATTCCAGAAGAAGGTCAGTTACCCACAGTGTGGTATTTCCAATTACAAGGGAGGGTTGGTTTCAGTAAAGCCAGCCTGTCCCCGCTCCTACAGGCCCTAACCAGCTAGGTTTCTCCAGCAAGATGTGTTTGTGAAATAAATTCACAGTTGTGATAAGCAAGAAAACCAGTGTCAGAGAGCTAGAGATTACACTTGTCCCCACTGAAAACACACGAGTCAAAACCTCATCTGGAGCAATACCACCTTCAAGAATCTATGCCCAATAGGGAAGGAGGTATGGCTTGATCACCACTTAATGCTAAGGACAAACTGCTGACGATATTTCCTGAGTCAAAAGATGCTGCCCTACCTCTTTGCAATCACCTTTATGCTAGTGAGAGCTTGTAACTGGTTTATAAGGTCTGAAATTGCTTCAGAATCTGGAGCCCCTAAGGAAAGGAGGATTTGATTCAAGTCCTCCCCTTCACAGAAGAAAAGAAAGCCTATTCCCAGACCTCTTCTCAACTTACCAGCAAAGGCATGGTCCCATTGAGCAGGGCCACATCAGTGATAACAGTTCAGTCAGCCACGTGGTGATCATCAGACTAAGGCAAGGTAATGAGGTAGGTCCAGGGTCCATCCAGGGAGCGCAGCCTGGAAAGCCAGAGACAAGCTACCTACAACATAGGCCTGAGGTTCAACCAGGCAACAGGGCCAGAGACAGAACTACCACAATGTAGACCTGAGGTCCATCTGGGAAAACCAGTCAGTAAGCAGGAGAAGGAACAGCGCACACCTACTGCATAGCTCAGGAAGGAGGTGGCTGCCCAGGCCGGAGCCTAAACGGAGCTCCCAGGCCCATGGGCGGAGCGGGTGGGTGGAAGCCCCAAGTGAGGCTGGTCAGGGCAATTAAGGCCTATTAGTGCACTCGGGGCACTGAGAGTGGGAGAGCTCCTCATTTCAAGCCTCATCCTTGGATCAGTCTCAAATAACGTATACAAGGCCTGTGCACAGAAACACAGCTGGGGTCCAGACTGTCTCCTTCTCTTCTGACCTCTCCTTTTTATTTCAGATGGGCAATACATCATCTGGCTGGACTCTTGGCTACCTGCTGAGTCTGACCAACACCATCCCCCAGGACAGCCCAAGCTTCCTCAAGGGGATTGAACCAGGGGTCTGGTCTTTGCTCCTTATCCTCTTTGTCGTGCTGCTCACTGGCTCTTTCATGCGCATCTCATACCGAGTGATGGTCAAGGAAAACAGCTTCAGTAACAGGAACAGCAGTGTTTTTGATGACTACTGACAGTTATTCTGGGACTTGATACTCTTGCCAGAGGGCAGTTAACAGGGTACATACAGAAATCACACAGGTGTAAGTCACTGGAGGATGCAAGTGATTTTCCTGCAGGACCCACAGAGCCTCAGTACCTTATTTCAACTTGCTAGCACTTGCACTACTGTACTTTGAGACAACGGATCCTGCTCTGCAGGAAGCCTGTGATTCCCGGTGGATGGCAAGCTATTTGTTCTCCAAATGAGAGAGCAGCCTGCACAGGTCTTGCTTGGGCTGCAGCTGAGATTACTCATATCAGCCTAATGAAACGATGCCTCTGAGCAGGCAGGCTCTGAGCTATTGTAAAGTTAATATTGAATAATCCTGTCTAATCAGGAGAGGTGGTGTCTGAAGAAGGTGCTCTGTCCTCTTCTGTGCCCACAAGATAGACAATACCTGCAGTATCGCCACTAGTGAAGACTGGAACAGCATTAAAATATAATCAGAATATAACAGCCAACTTGCTTCCATGTTCTAGGGAAAAAGCAGGTATTTTCTGCCTGCTACTACTGATCTGTCTGTTCTCCCACCTCAGTGACAGTATCCATGCATCCCTTCCAGCGAATGCTCCTGCTGACCAAGAATCCTTCAAAAGCAATGGGTTTTGGTCTTGGTCTCTACAAAATGTGCAGAGCATCAAAGGAGAAACAAAGGGCACAGACACGCAGCTGAGTTCCTGTCTCTCAGCTGAGTCATGGCAACGCAGGGTTAAAATTGCCAATTTAAACTCTTTAACCAGGACTTAAATTAACAGATTTCATTTCACATCTACTAAAATCGGGTGCATGCTGTGCTGAAGTTCACCAGTTCATTCATTTGCACTGAATTGCTTGTCTCGCTGACTCTGAAAATGAAGTCTCCCATCTAATATTGTCCTTCAGACAAGAGCAGACCCAGGAACAGAAGCTTTCCTAATTGTCAGTCCAATGACTTTTGTATTAGACTGTGACCAGAGTTACTTTATAATCCAATACTCGGGATTCCTCTGGGACTTGGCAGTTGTTCCAGCTCCTCTGGTCTGGTCTGGTCATCTAGAAGATGAGGTGCTGTACAAATTCCCCATGTTATTGTGAAGAAAAGGGATGAATTCAGACTAACACTGTCCTTTGACTAAAGCATTTAGAGTTCACTTCTTAGACTGCTTTAGAGACTCAAACACACAGGCTGTTAAAAGCCCAAGGGACGAGTGTCTCCTACTCATTTCAGACCACTTTAAACAGAAATTTAAATGCTCAAAGATGCAGTCATGTGCCTTGCGGGATTTTTAAAGCTACCGTGGCACCCAAATCCTTTCAACTCTGATTAATCCCTTGTGCTCCCAACTCATATATAGGACATCCCCCTCCCCCATAATATTGGGGTATTCATAAATTTTCAGGCCAATTAATGAAGGTTTGGAACCTGTCAGTCAAGTTTGGAGGGGTGTGGAAACAGATTCAAACAAGCTTCATATTCATTTCTTTGAGTTGCACATTAGATATTTTTAATTATATCATGTTATTAAAGATGTTTTAATAGACTGTCTGTGTTATTCTTGGCAAGAGATCAAAGCGGGGGTTTTATTGTGAATACAAAGTGTTTCAGTGAGGAGGATGGGGGATGCTGATTTTGCCTCTGTTTACTCAAGAGCTCTTATGCCGTATACTTTCGGGGTACACAATGAGAACCCCTGAAGGCACTTTCTTCCCAGTGGCAGGCAGGCAGAAAATGACTTCAGATAACCTGGCTGCTGGTATTTAGTTGATGAGAGACATGCCTACATCTTTGATGTGTTCTTTGCTCAAACCATCTGAAGAAGATAGGAGGGGTTCAGGCAAGCGTGCATAGAAAAAAAAAAAAAGGGGTTATCAGGGAGTCAGTGACATCGGGGAAATTCCTGAGACTTCATTCCTCCCGCATCTGGAAATACAATCATTAAACAGAGCTCTGGCTCTGTGACCTGTCAGCACATAGGAGAACTGGGGGATTCCTGCCTGAGATTTGCAACCTGCCCAAGAAGAATCTTACCACTGTCAGTAATGGAAATAAGCCAGTAAGATGCCAGGAACCCCCAGGACTCCAGGTGTTCTGGCCTGCTCAGTTGTTACACCTTCTTGATTTTGAATACTAGATCACAGGGTCCAAGAGAAAAGGACACTGGCTGGAACGTCCCCAAGCTCTTGTTTAGAAGCTTTGGGACTTCCATGCAGATAATAAGTGAGCAATTAGGCAAGAAGCCCAGCATGTCCTCCTGACACTTTCCTTTTGCCTCGCACATGCCACTGAGCTGTACTGAGTGACGGCATGTACAGATGGCCTAATTTGCCCCATTAAATCCATGACACTTGAGCCACCATTTGACATTGAGCCACTGCTCTGTGATGCGAAGACAACCCACAACCTCTTGATTTAGAGCAGATCCTAAACTCTTGAGCTAAAAGCTGCTGTTCTCATCAAAGGCACAGTGAGACATTTCGATGGCTGAAGTTCTTCCCCTCTGGTCCACACACTGCAGGCGGCAGCTCCGCTCCCTCCTTTCCCATCACTCCTTCCAAATACTGCCACTGCTGTCTTCTCCTGCAGGCAGGTCGTGGGGGCAGGCAGGGGCATAGAATCATAGAATCATAGAATCATTGAGGTTGGAAAAGACCTCTAAGATCATCGAGTCCAACCGTCGACCCAACACCACCACCCACTAAGCCATGTCCCTAAGTGCCTCATCTACACGTCTTTTAAATACCTCCAGGGATGGGGACTCCACCACTTCCCTGGGCAGCCTGTTCCAATGTTTAACCACTCTTTCAGTAAAGAAATTTTTCCTCACGTCCAATCTAAACCTCCCCTGGCACAACTTGAGGCCATTTCCTCTCGTCCTATCACTTGTTACTTGGGAGAAGAGACCGACACCCACCTCGCTACAACCTCCTTTCAGGTAGTTGTAGAGAGCGATAAGCAGGCATATTCGTTCTCATATAATGACTGTGCTGCCCTTCCCAAGCTGCAGCCCCCAGCAGCTAGGGTTACCAGGAAGACTGGGCTTGGAATGGGCAGCATTGACAGCGTGTCTCTTTCTATCTGGCAGAAAAAAACCCCACTTATAGATGTATTTACTAGACGATGAGCTAGATTGGTATTTTAAAAGCCCTGAAGTGTGTTTTTAGTCATAAAAAAGGCAAAAAATAACAAAATTGGGAACCTATGAGAAGAATGGAAACTAATAGAAGTAACACATTCCTTTCTCCCAGCTCTCTAAGCAGCAGCTCCTTCATGTCAGCACTATGTAAGTTTGCAGAATTAATCCCCAGATTACCTGGACAGCAGAAATCTACTTAAAAGGAGATTCTAGATTAACTCGCTCACTTTGAAACGAAGATGCTTGCAGCCCTTTGGTTACAATGCGATTGTGGAAATGATTAACAATGAGGATTTTCTAACTGTCCATAAATTCTTTATGTTTGTGCATAGCTCCCTCGCTTCTAACTCAGGCTGAACCATGGGACAGCTCTTCTGGCAGATAATGTCGACTCACATGTAATTGCAGTTCTGCTGCTGTCAGCAAGTATCAGTAAGAAGGAAATCAAAAGTATCAGATATAAAAATTGACACCAGAAAGCACTTCCTCTATTTTAGCTCCAGAAACACAATAGGTTAGCTGACCTGCTACTGGCTAGAGTGGCCTAAATTGCATTTCAGCATGTTTGTAGGAGTACATTAGCTCCTGTCTTTCTTCCAGTTTATACCATTTCCAAAGCATCATGGATTTCCAACCAGTACATGCCAGCTGGGTTGTACCAATGAATTCCCATGAATTGAGAGAAATAACGGTTTATTGCCTGCAGTCCAGTTCTGCAGTACAAAGTTCACCACCACAGGACCAGAGTTGTATCTTTCTTCCCGTTCTGACGCACCCAGGCTCCCTGCGGTTGTAGGAGAGAGACCTAAGCTGAGTCCTAACCTCCCTCTCTCAGTACCTGGCTGTACCTGAGGCAGCGCTGTAGATAAGTGCTGCTTTTTGAGATACAGGTATTTCACAGGACGCTTGTGGATGAATTAGTTCACCGGGATGTCACAGAGCTGGACTTTCTACCAGGTGCTGTCACAGACTTCCTAGCTTATCTTGGCAAGTCGTGAGAAGGTCATGCATGCTTCAAGGACTTTGCAAAACTGGTCATAATGGCTGAGCTCCAGCTTCCCGTTAGTAATGCAGTGATTGTAACTCCTCCTCTCCTTGAGATACTGCCCTGCCTGTGAAGATATCCAGTTCAGTGGTTAAGGGAAGGTCTCCAGAACAGCAAGTGTAGAAACAACGTACAGCACCAGGCACTGCAGTACTTGCACTCACTTCAGTTCTTCGGGGCTGTTATAATAAACAATAGTGAAATAACTCGAAATCCACGACCACTGCTGGAGCAAATCATGAGAGGAATGCCTTTTAGGATAGCTGGGTTTAGAGATCGATCAATACATTTTTATTTTGTTCTTATACCATGCCTATGAGCATGTATCTGAATATCTTCCAGAGAAGTAGGAAGCCATATGATGTTTATATCCTACCTCATGGACTGTCACTCCTACTTCAAGAGCTAATTCAGAACACGCTGAAGTAGATGGAAATGCTATCAGAAGAACAAGCCTGAAAGAATATTGGGATCAGTAAAACCCCAATTTTTGCCACAGCTCTCTTAATATAAAAGTCCTTTCATAATTCCATCAAACCCAGGCAAGTCAAAGTGTTTTGATGTTTTGCAAGTGCAAACATCACTGTGTACTCGTAGAGACCAGGCAAAAGAGGTGTCTTTGACCTGGTTTCCACCATACCCTTGATATGAGATATTCAGAGCCTTCTTGCAGTAGGGTGCTTTTAGATCCCCTGTTCAAGTCAGATAAACACGGAACGTAAGCTGTTGCTCCCCTGAGTGTGTAATGACAGGGATTAGTCACAAGAGGGAGGCTGGCAGAACAGCGCCTTAAGCCTTAGGAAATCTCCAACA